ATTTAGGTCATTACATTTAACATACTGCTAAATAATTAAATAGTAACTTAGTAGTTTTGCTTTGATTGTAACTATCTTCTATTTTCCTCACCTTTTCCTTCTGGCTATCAGATTAAAGACTTGTTGACTCACTGTTGTCTTTCAATTACCTTTCCTTCTACATTTCCTACCTGGCTCCACTTGCCAAATCCTGCTGCATTTTGCTCTGCATCGTTGCCAGAAATTGTCTGTTTCTCCTCTTTAAAACTTGTCCAAACCTTTGCCCCTGTGTGGGCAGCTTCCTGCCGCAGCTCTTGCCAGTACCTGTTCTCATATCTCCTTGTTGGGGCTCAAAGCAACTCCCCAAAACATGGCGCTTTGGCATGGCTGAGCACTTTGAACTAGAGATCAGAAGGCCTTAGAAGCTGCTTCAGAAGCAAAATCTCTCTCTGACCTTCTCTTGATCTCTTGTCCTCTGCCTCTCCTTCTCTTCCAAAACAAGTTATAGAATCCAGGATTTCTCTTCCCCAAGGCAGGTTATAGAAACTACAACTCCTCTCTTCCAAAGCAAGCCATAAAGAAGACCCTCATGCCAAAGGAGCCCTTCCCTGTAGCCAACAGGAAGGAATGCTACCCGAAGAGGCCAAGGTGAATAGGAACAGACGGGGCTTGCTGGGTTTTCACCCCTTCAGTCATTACCACTGAATCATACCCTTTGTCCAATCACATTTCTACATGGCTGTCTATTCTTCACTGAATATTAGCATTAAAACAGACATTTTTGACTGGGTGCGGTGGCTCACGCCTGTAATCCCAGCACTTTGGGAGGCTGAGGCGGGTGGATCACGAGGTCAAGAGATCGAGACCATCCTGGTCAACATGGTGAAACCTCGTCTCTACCAAAAATACAAAAAATTAGCTGGGCATGGTGGCGCGTGCCTGTAATCCCAGCTACTCAGGAGACTGAGGCAGGAGAATTGCCTGAACCCAGGAGGCGGAGGTTGCGGTGAGCCGAAATCGTGCTATTGCACTTCAGCCTGGGTAACAAGAGCGAAACTCCGTCTCAAAAAAAAAAAAAAACCAGACACTTTTCCCTGGGTCTTTGAGTCGTTGAATCTCAAAGTCTGAGATACGAAGACTCAATCTTTGTCATGTAAAACTTGATTAAATAACTTTGTTATGCCTTTATCTTGTTAACCTGCCCGCCCCTCGCCTTTTTTTTTGTTTGTTTCAGAGGGTCTATGTGCAGATTTGTTAGATGAGTATATTGTATGATGCTGAGATTTGGGGTAGAGATGGTTCTGTCACCCAGGCAGCGAGCATGGTATTCAAAAGATACTTTGCCTTCCTCTAGTACTCCTCAGTGTCTGTTTTTCCCTTCTTTATGTCCATGTGTGCTCAATGTTTAGCTCCCACTTGTGAGAACATGTGGTATTTTGTTTTCTGTTCTGTGTTAATTCATTAATTTACATGGGATGATGGCCTTCAGCTGTATCCACGTTGCAAACGACTTGAGGTTTTTTCTTTTTTGTGGCTATGTAGTATTCCATGGTGTATATGTACTATCTTGTTATAGGCATGTTGGCCATGACCCTTATGATGGATGAGGGAAAGGATCAAAACTTTCTGTCCCACATTCTCTACTGAACGTATCAGAGGTTCTTGGCCCAAACATTTTCCTTGACATTCAATCGCAATTACTCCTCCCCATCATGATCAATAATATTGATATGAACAGAAGACAGGGAAATACTAGGTAGAAAAGGGTGGGGTTTCTGGCAAGGATTTTACCCTCAACCTGGACCTGTGTTCCTAAATGAGAACTTCACATCCCTGTTTTTCTGCCCAAATGTTGCCTTTTGGCCTGCCACCCTATATCCTGTGCCCATAAAATCCCCAAACTCCACTGACAGAGGAGCAGAGAGTGGTGTGGCAGAGTAAAGAGAAGTGTCTGAATGTCAAGAAGAGAAGAGGCAGCTGGACATTGGAGACTACAGTCAGAGGAATTCGACCAGAGGCGGTTGAAGAGGAGTTTGGCAGTCTCCAGCGGAACTCTAGGGGAAGATTATCCTCCCACTCCATTCCCTTTCCAGCTCCCCATCCTGCTGACAGCCACTTCTAGTGCTCAGTAAAATCTCCACATTCATTATCCTTCAAGTTCGTCTGACCTGATTCTTCCTGTATGCTAGGCAAGAAACCAGCTACCAAGAGGGCAGGGTGTAAAAGGCTGTCACTGACCTGGTTTAACACTTAGCCATCTGTGGATGGCAAATGCTAAAATATCGTTGTTTATATTACATGCTCTCTGGGATTCCAGAGGTTGCCAGCAACCCCTAGACACTGGTGGGCCAGTATGGGGTTCATTCCTCACTCCTACACCTGCTAACCTGCATGCTCCCCTTCCTATAAGGGATTTGAGCACAGCGGTCGAGCAAAGGAGATACCCCTGTTTCAAGTCCCGTGAGGGGGTCAAGGGAACTCTCCAGTCTCAATATTCCTCATTGATAATGAGAGCAAAGAACACCGTAGAACGAGACTTCATGAATTGACGTCAAGTTTTGCACACAGTTACTTTCATACCAGATTAAATTCTCTATTTTTAGCTTTTCTAATAGTTTTCATCCCAGACCACTCAACTGCTGCTCTCACTTTTTCTGCAGAGCTGAGCATACGCTATGCTTTTTTTGTCACTCATTTTTTGTTACGTTTTTGCTTTCTGTATTGTCATCTTTAAAATTCATCAGCAAAATTAGTTTATTAAACTCTGACAGCCATTACAGTACTCATATATAATTTGATAGTGACAATGCGTCCACTTATTGTGAGTTTACAATAACTTTGTTCTATAATACTGATGAAGTTCAGGGCACACCAGCCCAAAATATGGCACCTTGGCATATTGAATATTTTAAGCTGAAGGAATGTGAGAAATGTGCTATTCAGGAAGGACTTTTTGACTTTCCCTGAAACAGGTCATGTAAAAGGTGCCCTCCTTATACCTGGAGGAAAGGAGCATCCGTATCTCCAAAGACACAGAGATGCTGAGAGGAATCTGAATGGACTTGTCATTTACAAGAAACTTGTAGTCTATTGTAATTAGCACCTGCACATTTTATGCTATCACATTTCCCCATGACTTTCTACTCTTCATCAAACCTCACATTAAAGCACCCAGTTTTAACCCCTTCTTCAGGTCTTCGTTTTCTATCGAAGGCTCCAGTGTCACACAAAACATATATTTCTATGGTTCTGGCTTTCTGTCTTTTGTTCCAGGAGCCCCAGCCAGTGAACCTAAGATGGGTAAAAAACAAAGGTGTTTTTTTCCTCCCATACAATATTTTATTAATGCCTTTTCAGGTTTCAGACTTTTACCTAACTTTCAATATTGTGAGATTTCTTTAAAACATGAGATTCTATATAATTTCTTAAAGAATTTTGTGTATACCTGTTTGTTCATTTTTGTTTTTTATTACATTTAAAAACATCATAGACTTTTGACATTCACTGGATTGCCCATTCTAGGCCCTTCATAAATCTCAAATTTTGGTCTTTCATTTTTGAAAATTATGATAAAACACATATGACATAAACTTTACCATTGTAATCTCTCTCTCTCTCTTTTTTTTTTTTGAGACAGAGACTTGCTCTGTTGCCAGGCTCTGGAGTGCGATAGTGCAATCTTGGCTCACTGCAACCTTTGCCTCCCAGGTTCAAGCGATTCTCCTGTCTCTGCCTCCTGAGTAGCTGAGATTACAGGTATCCACCACTATGCCTGGGTAATTTTTGGTATTTTTAGTAGAGACAGGGTTTCACCATGTTGGCCAGGGTGGTCTCAAACTCCTGGCCTCAGGTGTTCTGCCCACCTTGGCCTCCTAAAGTGTTGAGATTACACATGAGAGCCCCCACACCTGGCTGTAATCATTTTGAAGTATACAATTCAGTGGCATTAAGAACATTCACAGTGTTGTATGATGTGGTTCAGAACACACTGCCCCAAAATATGGCACTTTGGCATATTGAGTATTTTAAGCTGAAGGAATTTGAGAAACGGCAGGTGCAGGAAGGACTGTGACCTCCCCCTTCTCCCTTGAAGCAGATCACAAGACCTTCATGTGAGAGATGCCCTTGCTATACTCAGAGGAAAAGCGCATCCCTACCTCTGAAGATGGAGGGATGCCAAGAGCAATCTGAGTGAATAGGCCTTGTTGTTTTCCCCAGTTTACTACTGTTAGCTCATAAGGGTAGTAATAGTAATAGCCTTTGTCCTCTGACATTTTTCCCTGACTTTTTACTCTTCATCAAATATAGCAGAAAAATGCACAAGCTTAATTGTTGCTTTGTCTTCATTTCTTTATGAAGACTCCTTGGTCACATAAAACTTACATTAAATACATTTTTATATATTTTTTCTTGTTAATCTGTCTTTTGTTAGTCTAATTTACAGTATCACAGTCAGAGAACCCAAAGGGATAGAGACAAAGAATTTTTTTTCTCTCCTACATGTGCAACAACCACTGTTATTTCCAGAGCTTTTTTAAAATCTCAAATTTGAAAACTGCTTATTAAACAATACCTCCCCATTCTTTCCTCCCAGCCTCTTGTCATCATGATGCTACTTTTTGTCTCTGTGAACTTGACTATTCTAGATATATAAGTGGAATCACACAATGTTGATTCTTTTGTGTCTGGCTTACTTACTTAGCATAATCATAATGTTTTCAAGGTTCATCCATGTTTGCAGCTTGTGATCAGAACTTCATTCCCTATTAAGGCTGAATAATATTCCATTATGTGTATATACTGCATTTTGTTTATCCATTCACTGTTGATGGACATTTGGGTTGCTCCCATCATTTGGCTATTATAATAGTGCTGCTATGAATATGGGTGTATAAGCATCTGTTTGGGTTATTGCTTTCAGTTCTTTTGAATCTCAAGATTTGATAACACAAATGCAGCATATGATTTTTCCCATAAAATGAACACTTTCCTTATCCAAATTTTTCATGTCTTCTTTTCAGTCATAACCCTTAAAGTTCATTTCCTCTGTGTGGCCATTTTCGGCCAAGAAATGAAGCTTTATATCTACTACTGGGCAAAGGTAAGTCAAACCCAGCAAAGTGATAATTATTGTTCCCTTCCCACCACTATGTACCTTGCAACTAGTGTGCAAAGAGGAACACTGCCAAATCCTAGATTTGTGATCAGTTGCCCAATGTAGACCAAACTGTATCCTGCAGGATGTAAATTTTTTACCCTAGACTCATACTAATATTTTTCTGCTTCTTACATAGCTAGGGAAGGAAGCCAGAAGTGAGTGGACTAGATTGACACCTGGGTAATTAGAAGGCTTTGTTCCCTAAAGCCCAGTTTAAATAGTGTTGAGCTATCACTCAGTACTAGCAGAAACAGTTTCCTCTTGCTTTTTTCTAAAATCCACTACTAAATAATGTTAGGGTATCTTTGAAGCAATAATGTGTAATCACTCACAGTTCTTTGAAAGGAGTGTATTTAAGATAAAAAAAAAAAAAGCCCAAAGGCAGAGAGCTTTAAATAGTAGCCATTTGGCAATAAATACGGTTACTTCCCCTCTTCAGCCTGCTCCACTCCCTCCCCCATAACTCTTAGCACAAAGCTTCAGATTTAGTTTTAGAGAGAGTAAGTACTACAATCACTTGAAGAAAAGTCTTTTTGTTTTTCATTTGTTCTGTTGACTTCACTGTCTTTTAAAATATCTATGTTGTGGAGAACGTACTGAATTCTGAATTACTAAGTAGCATGTCTGTTTGCTGTAGAAATGGATTTCAGTCCAACAGTAAAAGATTTTAGCTTGCCTCTATAGCAGGTGGTCTTGATCCCTAAGACAGGTGAAGATGAGATGAGAGAGAGGCTTGTGATTCCTTGAGGGGCAAAACTACTTACATCTCCTTTGTTTTTCTTGCAGACAGAGAGAAGGGATGGTGATGGTGATGGTGATGGAGAGTCTCCCGGGGAATTACGAGAGTTGTGGTGGTGTCTCACTAGGCATTGGTGAGGGAAAAGATCCTACTCACATGATTGGCAGGGCTGGGCAAAGCTAGTATGGACAGTCTCTAAAGTACTCTCAGATGGAAGTATCCATGGAGCACTTTTGATACGGTTTGGCTGTGTCTCCACCCAAATCTCATCTTGAATTGTTCCCATAATCCCTACATGTAATGGGAGGAAACTAGTGGGAGATGATTGGATCATGGGGGTGGTTTTACCTCCATTCTGTTCTTGTGATAGTGAGTTCTCACAAGATTTGATGGTTTTATGAGGGGCTTTTTCTCCTTTGTTTGGCACTTCTGTTTCACCTGCCACTGTGTGAAGAAGGATGTGCCTGCTTCCTCTTCCAGTATGATTGTAAGTTTCCTGAGGCCTCCCAAGTTATGTTAAATTGTCAATTAAACCTCTTTCTTTTATAAATTACCCAGTCTCAGGCTGTCCTTTATAGCAGCATGAGAATGGACTAATACAAGTTGTCATCTAGACTAGTCTGCTCAAAGCTTTTCTTCAGGCTGGGCACAGTGGCTCATGCCTGTAATCCCAGCATGTCGGGAGGCCGAGGAGGGCAAATCATGAGGTCAGCAGTTTGAGACCAGCCTGGCCAAACATGGTGAAACCCTGTCTCTACTAAAAATACAAAAATTAGTCAGGCATGTGCTGGTGGGCACGTGTAACCCAGCTACTTGGGAGGTTGAGGCAAGAGAATCACTTGAACTCAGGAGGCAGAGCTGAGATCGTGCCACTGTACTCTAGCCTGTGTGACAGCAAGACTCTGTCTCAAAAAAAAAAAAGGCCTTTCTTCAGTCAACTAGGTATAGCCCTGATTCCAGGAGCTTGGCCTAAGGGGCAAGATATAGGGTCTTTATCTTCTGCCCAGGTGGGAGCTCTGTTTCTCTCTGCGCACTTCATGGGGCATTTCTCCTAGCTCCTCTGTGCAATGAGGCCCCTGAATCGGCAGATTGTTTTTCCTTAGTTCTCAACATCATATTTCTTTATTTAATTTCCCAAGATATACTTGAAATGTGGACCTTTTTAAAAGAGGGCATTTTGAATGCCCTCCGTGTGCATCTTAAGGGATTTTCAGAGGTGTGCTTTTACCCTTACCTTACACACACACACACACACACAGACACACACACACACACACACCTATCTATCTACTTATGTACCTACCTATCAATCTACCTATCATCTATCATCTCTCTATTGTGTGTGTCTACTTTTATATAGAGAAATCCCTGGCAGTGGTCAGTTAGTCAAAAATATTGCCAAGGTAGGAAAACATGAAAAATAATATATATATATATAAAACATCCATCCAGCAATGTGCAAGTAGAATCTTTCCAGATAAGTGATTCTCAAATGTTGGCGTCTGAATTTCTTGGAGGGATTGTTAAAACAGATGTCTTAGCTTCATCCCCTGAGTTTTAGGTGCAATAGATCTGGAGTGGGGCCTGAGAATTTGCATTTCTCGCAGGTTTTCAGGTGATGGTGATGCTGCTGGCCCAGGGATCACTTTTTGAAAATCACCATGGTAGATTTTCATTGTACTTTACAGAAAGCGAATATGTAACCTTTTATAGGGAGAAGAAAGAATGTTGATTAGTAGCAGAGTAGGTTAAGAGAAAGTAGGTTGAGAATGAATATAATTCTATCTCTATTTTATACACTTGATATACAGCAGTCCATGTTCACATGGATTTCTTCACAGGAGTTGCAGAGCACTCTTAAATATCACATAGGATATTGATAATATGCTATAAATAGTTGAGTTTGCAAGGGGGTAAAAAGAGATTCTTTCTGGAAATGATAATGTTCTTTAAAACTTTTTCTCTCTACATGATGAAAGTTAACTTCTCAGTGCTTCTTTACTTACCTGTAAATTGGCATAAACACAATTACATCACAGAGCTCTCCAGAAGACAAAAGGAGATAATATATAGTAGTTTTTCTCAGATGTTTTCACCATGATTTTTCACGATAGGTAGGCGAGGAATTGGGAGAAACCTAAAGAACACATTACAGAACAATATTATTGAGGTCTTCTCTTTTATGTCTTAAAAATGAATCTACAGGAGCCAGAAAAAGGAGAATACATATCCGTCAAAGATCTTATTGTTTTCATATAAAAATACTTTACACAACTTGACAGTTACTTAACCATGTTTATGTTTTGATTTCTGCTATGAAGCACAAGTACCTTAATTTGAGAAACTTAGGAACATGCTTTGAAAACAGTAATGGATTACATAGAGTTTTTCTATTATTAGATTTTGTTTAATTTGGCAAACATGTGAGACACTCATAAGCAGATATACAGGCTTTGACATCTCATTAACAGATTCCTTATGCTGATGTTTGGATTTTCAATGATCAGACATGTGATGAAGTCTTCTTTTCTACAGATGTTGTCTACAATCTTAAAAATTTGCTTCTAAATCATATTTCTGAGATACAAAAAAGTCAAAGCCATTTAAAAAATGCAATTGGCCCATGATTTATTTATCTCTTAATAAAATAGTAGTAGATGGTCGGGGCAGGACAGTGAATTTATATAATAGGTGACTAATGATTCCTGTGTTACATCATTGTAGAATCACTAGCATATTCAAAAAATTAAATGTATATCTTATATTGCACATTTACTTGTACTGTTTTAATGGCATTTCTAACTAAAGCAAGGTAAAATAATATATTCCAATTTATGGATGACCCATTTAACCATCATTTCTTGAACACTTGCAGTATTAACATTTAGCTAGTTTCCACAAGGGATGCAGAGATAAATAAGACACAATCCTGGCCAGGCATAGTGGCTCCAGCCTGTAATCCCAGCATTTTGGGAGACCAAGGAGGGAGGATTGCTTGAGCCTAGGAGTTCCGGACCAGCTGGGGCAATAGAGCAAGATCACCATCTCAAAAAATAAAAAATCCTCAATTTTGGAGAATTTCAGAATTTTCCATTCTGTCAATTGATCACTGAGGTGCTGCACTTTTCCCACTTACAAGAAGTAATCTGCATACAGCTAATAATGTTTAGCAGCATGGACAAAATAATGAGCTGGACAGCTGTGGAATCTGACAGAGCTTCATGTGAATCCCTACCTAGACACTCCTTAGTTAGATGATATTGGGAAGATTTTCTAAATCTTTCTGCTTGTCAGTCTTTGAATCATAAATTAGTGGGACTTGTGAGAAGTGAAAATAATATATTTAAAGAATGAAACTCAGTGATCAACACTTAGGTCTTCCATCTCTGCTTCTTCCTACGTTCTTATCTCTAGCTTGAGTGCATGTGCTGGTCTGATCCCAAGACTGCTCGACATGTGAAGATGTCTGCCTTGATTCGGGCCCCGATCACCATTCAGGGAGCTGTGACTATGAGGGCACAGGCCACTTAAATTGTCAATGAAGAATTGCCTGTGGTAGTTCTTTTGAGAAGAGAGCAGTGAACTTAGCTCCCATTTATGGTGCCACATCCTGTCCTGCTCACAGGTGAAAACTGAAAAGGGAAGACAGTCCATTTGTAGTTGAATACAACTCTAGGTTAACTTTATGATTCAGCTGGGGGCATACCATAGTTTTACATTAGAGTTGGAAATCCAGAATAGGACTTTTTCCCTCATGAAATTTCTACTTTAGGTATTAGAAATGTTTCTCTGTAAGAGAAAGCAAAACATTAAACAAATTTCCTTTCCATTTTATTCTGTGGAAGACTCCAAAAGACAGTTGGGTAATTGACATATGCCTAGGAAAAGTTTACATATACATTTTTTTAGAAAAAAATATCAATTTGAAGTACTAATACTACACTTAAAGACATAAGTCATGCATTGATCCATAAAGATTATATTCTCAGTAGCAAGTCCTCAGAATTGCATGACCAAACCGAAGGCTCATACGTAATTCAACCTATGTAAATTAGATAATGTTGCGAAAAGATTAGAGCTTACCATATACTTTGAGTGTAGTATAGTTCTTTCTTACTCTTCAAAGACAAATGAGAAGCATTAGGTTTGCCTGCATATGTTTTTGTGTGATATGTACACATAGATATATACACACATACATGCATTCCAGATAGATACATATATGGATCTAACAACATACATACTAATTCAACAATTTCTCTTTTGTATTATTGGTACCAAAAAATACAAGGAAACATTTATAAATGTACTAACATCTAAAAGTAGAGTGAGTGTTTTAAAAATGCATTTTTAATATACTATTTTTACTTTGTTTTCTTTTGAAATATGAATAATAGCAATAGATTTTGACCTGCAACCATTCACACCCAAAGCTCTTTGCCTAGAGTATCCCATCGCTATGATTTGGATATGATTCATCTCTGCCAAAACTCATGTTGAAATGTTATTGTCAATGTAATGCTATTAAGAGGTGGTGGGGCTTTTAAGAGGTGTTTGGGTCATAAGGGATCTTCGCACATGAGGAGATTAATGCACTTCTTGCAGTATTGGGTTAGTTCTCCCAGGAGTGTATTGGTTCCCACCAAAGCGAGTTGTTATAAAGTGAGTTTGCCTCTTGTGCTTTGCCCTCTCTTTGCACACAACTTCTCCTCTTCTGTTTCTCCGCCGTGTTTTGATGCCGCGCAAGACCCTCATCAGAAGCTGAGCAGAAGCTAGTGCTGTGCTTTTTGGTCTTAACCTTCAGAAGGCTATTCACCTATTTTCTGTATAAATTACCCAGTCTCAGGTATTCTGTTACAGCAACACAAAATGGACTAAGACACCTAGTAATTATGGAACTGAAAGCAGGCAGGTCACAAATTACATTTCTCAGTTGGCCTCCCTCTTGTGTGAGGCATGATACCTTTCCTCCCTCCTCTCCCTCTTCTCTACTTGCCTGGCCTAAGTCTTGCTGGGATTTTGACTGATAGACTCAGATATAATTCCTGTTCTAATACCGTTTTTAAATAAAATATTAGGATTGGTTGGTCTATGAACCTGGTTACACTGTGCAGAATATAAACAAGTTGTTTA